CGCTCATAACGCGCCATTGCAACGCGAATTTCGCGCCCTTCGACCCAGCGTCCATCAGTGCGATCCATTGCGTACTCTGCATCACGGGCGGCTTAAAAAAAACTACCGGTTATAAACCATATCAGGTCTCATAATTGCAGCTTATTTCAAGCCAACAAAATGATGAAATTCATCAACTGATTCTTCAAGGCTTGTAGTAAAGAAAAACCAGTAAAATTCAGCGTATACCTATAAAATCGCACAAATCCGAAACCCTTGCTTTGACGTGTGTATTTGTCTCTGGGAATATGAATATCGCCAATCTCGCCATATTTGTCGAACATTCTTCGAAGATCAGCTTGTGTTGTATTATAAGAGATGTTGTCAACCTGAAACGCGTAATCGATGACACAAAGCGTGACAATCGCTTTCCAGATCCTTCTCCAACGGAGACGCTTTAGTCCATTACAGCGCTGTCTTGCGTAATTCTGAACGCTACTATTATTTAGGTCATAATTTGCGCCATCCATGACTGCACCTAGTGCTCACAGCTCAGAATTATCATCGGGTGTCTCAGGCCAATGTCATAGTTTGCGAATCGCTGGATCCGAGCGTTGCACCAGCGAATCGAACTTTGCGCCAGCGAGTCGAACGATGTACCAGCGACTCAATAGTGGCGGGACCCAACGTTTAAAGGAAGCCCGCCACTTTCAAACAGTGTCACGTGACAGCTGACACTTTGAAAGTGGCGGACTTCCTTTAAACGTCGGGCCCCGCCCACTATTGTTCGCTGGTCGCTGGCGCAAAGTTCGATTCGCTGGTGCAACGTTCGATTCGCTGGCCCAACGCTCGGATCCAGCGATTCGCTAGCGAATCGTTCGATTCGTAAACTATGATATCGGCCTCAGAAAGGGTGAGGGAATACTAGTTGCGCTGACCCCACATTCTGTACAGGGTGAGAAAGCTCCGAAGTATATGAGCCGATGCCTACTGCGTAAACGAAAATAGGTAGTGTGGGTGTAATTCGCTGGGACAGAAAGCGACGTTTCCGTATTTTGCAGCGCTTTTTTGCTACGGGAGAAGCAGGTCCACTATCAGAGATGGACCTGAGGTCGCACAGCCAAAAGTTCCGCGCTGCGGGAAGCGAAAAATTTGTGTTCTTAGGAACATTGATTTTCTTTTGAAGGGAAGAGGGACTCTGGTGAGCGGGAGCAAGTTTCAGTTCTAGGAGCCTTATTACGAGGTGTCCTCCACCTCCCTCCGAGTCACACTGGGCCAATTTTTGTCGTGGTTTTGCTGATAGTCACCTCTGACTCGATCCCTTTGAATATCTTTTTCGGTCAACTGTTGACACGGCAGAACTAGTGAAAACATGGTACATTTGAAAGCTCCACTTAGACCTCACCTTCAGAGAATAAAGTCCTTCAATAGGTGGAGGTGCACGTCGCGACATGATCTGAAACCCTGCCATACTATATACGTTACGTTATCAACCATATTCCTTGTTAAGAAACATGCAAATCAGCACTACGCCACTGCTGCAGATCTGGCGATGAAATGAGCCGAGAAAAGAGGAGAGCAGCGAACGATACCACTTCATACATAGACCACAACATTTGAAAAAAACGTCCCAAAGCCGACAACCGCACCGCACGGCCGCAACGAAAACACAAGAGCGCGATCGGCAAGCGTGGGCTCCGCCGAACAACTCGTCCACTCACGTCAACAGAGCATCAGAACGCGAATCGAGCACGTTTGCGTGAGTCAGATTGTGTTCGCTGAGATTAATGATTCATGCCAAAGAACCACACTCCGCAGGCACGATATCACTGTGCTGTGAGCAGGTCAGCGCTCCATAGTGCCAAGTTCGACGTAAGTGGGCAGGAGGTGGCGTTTAAGCTACGAAATGAAAGGTGCATGCGTCAACAGTGTATCGAAAGTGGTATTGTCATAGCTAATGGTAAGCGAATTCGTGATGATTTTCATGTAACTTTCGACTTCTGACCAGAGCGTGAGCGTCGCGCATTCGAAGCAGCGTTTGTTGGTGCTCAGCGCTATATTCAATTCATCCCGAACAAATATTGTTTTGGAGGAATCATGAAGTTTTTGCACGAAGCTAGTGTGGAATGAGATGTAATAATTTGGAGGAATGCACTGTGAATGATCGGAAAATCTTGACGGAGACATGATTTCGGAGTCAGTGAATTTTTAGGTTTGTTTCGACGCTCATTAGCAAACCCATTTGGTTGTG